TTGAGGGTTTAGGGTTTTGGAGCTTAGGGTTTAGGGCTTTGGGGCTTAGGGTTTAGGGCTTAGGTTTGGGTTTAGGGATATGTCTTAAACACGCCATCCGGACTACTAGTAGGGACCTTCAGGTTTATAAGGCGTCTCTTGGGGGGCATCCAGGATGTTGTAGGGTTCTACGACTTTTCTCGAGGGGAGAAATTTTGAACTATTCGGTTTTTCATATTCGGCCGTTGTGGCGCTTGTGTTGGGCCTGGTGATTGAAGGAGAGAGTTGATTCCTCGGTTTAGTGTGTGGGATCTGGATTTGCAGAGGGTGCGCAGTACTTCTGATCCAGTTTTGGGGTCCTGAACCTAAACCCTAGACCCTAAACCCTAAACCCTAAACCCTAAACCCATAAACCCTAAACCCTAAACCTGAACCATTCTGGAACCCGCGCTTAGGCTCAGCCCTAAGCTCTGAACCCTTAACCCCCAAAGCCAAAAAAGATGCACACGCAACACTCTCATGCACCACAAACTGCGGTGAGTTGCAAGACAGCTTTGGGAGCTCTGAGACGCTTGAATCTTGCAGCCATGAGCCCTATGCCCAAATCCCCAAACCTATAAGATCCCTGATTCCATCCTAACACTTAAACCTCGCGCCCCTAAAACCCAAAACTGAGTTTGGGATTGTAGAACTCGTCTCCTTATAGTATCCGTGTAGTGCCCTTCTAGTAACCCCTACTAATAGCCGTTAGAGTAACTAACCTTTATAATTCTCCCTTCTGCTAACCTTATAAGTAACCTCACCTGCGGCCCAACAGACCTACTTTGTAAAGGAACTATGTCTAGAAACCATAGTGAGGAACCCTAAAAAAGGTAGCTACACGTAGGCCTCAGCATCTTCCAAAAAACAAAAGAAGCTCCTCTGCTGCGGAGGCGACCCGCTGATCGGCGAGGGAGCTCTGGAGCTCCCCGAGGAGCCCTGGGGTCGCTCGGGGTGGCGCTTGGGGCCTTTGAGGATTTGGGGGTTCCGGGGTTTCGGGGCTTAGGGGTTTAGGGGTTTCGGGGTTTCGGGGTTTAGGGGAGGGGTTCAGGGGCTTAGGGGCTTTGGGGCTAGGGGTTTAGGGGGTCAGGGGTTTAGGGGTTTAGGGGTTCAGGGGTTTAGGGTTTAGGGTTTAGGGGTTTCGGGGTTCCGCGGTTTAGGGGGTTTCGGGGTTTAGGGGTTTAGGGGTTCCGGGGTTTAGGGGTTTAAGGGGCTAGGGGTTTCGGGGTTTAGGTTTTAGGGGTTCAGGGATTTAAAGTTTGGGTCTCTGGTTGAGGGGTTTGGGTTTAGGACTTTGGGTTCAGGGTGGGGTTTGGGGTCTAGGTGTTTAGAGGATGAGGGCTTGTGGGATTACGGGCCTTAAGGCCTTTTGTTTTTGTTAGAAGGGTAGGATGCTCTTCCTTTGCAAGTTTTGCAGGCTTCCTTGGTTACTGTATAATGCTTCATGAATTCCTGCGAAGCTCCTGCGCTCAGCGTTTTTGGGTTGCGAAAATTACAAAGACTTAAAGGCAGCTCGTTTGACAGCTCGAGGGTTATTCTTGCGTTGAAACATATCGATCATGACCGATTCGAGTGTTTATCATCGCTAATATCATGGTGCATGGCATGTGGTGTGCATGCCGCGAACGTGGCTTTGGCATCAATGCAGATCCACAAACGATCATCAGGCGGTGGCATCCGATCGAAATGCTACTTCACCCATCTCCCCTCAGGCCCGGCCCGACAGGATCACGCCCGAAGCCGTAAGTGCAGACCCCCAGACCCCCAACGCCCGAAAGCCCTAACACCCCCAAATTCCGCAAACCGCTGGAACCCTATAAGCTGCTGTAAAGGCCCCATGGAAACTTGTTTCAAGCATTTTGACAGCCCTCTTCAAGACCCCGAACACCTAAACCTTTTCCACCCTTGCAGGAGCTGGTCAACATGTCTTCCTGGCAACGGTTGCGAGGGGGTGATACTAGCATAGGGTATAAGGCTTCAGAATTTGGCTTGTGTTTATGTTACTAGTCCCAACAGGATCTTCATTATAGTGCTTGCGAGCTGTTCAAGGCCGACAATTTTAGTTGTTTTTGGTCGCGATCGTACACTAAACCCTAAAGGCCCTGAAACCCTGAACAGTAGGCTGTAAGATACTTGTGGAAAAAGCCCGCAAACGTTCGTCTATATATCGTTTCAACATGCAGAGTAGCGTCCTGCTGTGGATGCACGAATGCTTGTCGAGAGAGACCCCGAACTCCACAAAACCCAAGACTTAAACCTCGGAAGGTAACAGACTCTATATACACCTTCTACCAAATCAAGGGAAGGCTTCGTGTGCCATGCTTCATCAGTCTTAGCCGCGTTCGAAGCCATTGCATTCAAGTTCGAAGTTCTCTGACTCTAGCTATGCTTACTCTTGCGAAAATCTACACCTGTCCTTCTTCACCAAGGAACTGCCGGGACACCTGTCAGTCTGTAGAGACTAAGTGCTGTTTATTATTCTAAGAGCTAGGGCTCTTTATAAGCATTATAGTATACTTGGGTTTCCTATAAGAATTATACCATGCTAGGGCTCCTTCTAAGGAACAGAGAAAGATTCCCATCTTGGCTCCAAGTCCTAATATAGGGGCCTAAATAATTACCGACAGTGTTTTTGTGGGGGGGGGGGGGTCCTTATCTTATCTTTATACTATACAGGAGCCGAATACACACCCGATTCTAATTATTGAGGCCCCTATATCAGTTATAGTAAGTGGGTTATACGTCCCATCATATGATTTTTCGCTAAAGTTACCCTAGTTATAACCCCACTGACAAAAGCCCATGAACCTCCAAGTAGCTGAAGCATCGCGGCCCTGAAGATGCACAAGGCCGCTGCGGTTCACTTCGTCGACGTCCACCGGATCAACCGTGCAAGTAGGTCGAATGTATCCGTTGTCACGTGGTCGCTGTCTGTCATGAATTGTCGGCGCTGTGGCGGAAACAGCGCGTCCGTGCAGGCACACAAGTGCCCAACGAGTATGGAAAAGTTTTTGGCTCAGGGCAAGATGGGACATGCCTGGGCGCCGCAGCTCGCGTCGCAGAGGGAATGCAATGGAAACCCCTAACCCCAAAGTCCCTGAGTCCGAAAGTCCCAGAGAGTCCTAGACAGACTTCAAACTCCCGGACCCGACAGCTTTAAATAGACCCACCAAGCTCTTGAGACCCCAACCCCTCCAGACCCCAAATCCTGGGTTCTTGTAAAGGGGTTAAAAAAACTTAAGTTACCATAATACAGGAACCATATTATTTACGATAGATCCCTGTAGTATGGTAACTTAAATTAAATCGCTTAGCAAGAACCCAGAATCCCTAAAAATACTGGCATCTCAAAGCCCAAAGGCCCTGAAGACTTCACGCCCCAAAGACCCCAAACGCTAAAGCCATAAAACCTCTAAGGTTAGAAGTATTGGCCCTTAATGTGGACCCCTTAGGCTTTTGAGGGGGATTCCAGGGACCCTTAAGGGTGTATGCAGGGTATATAGTAGGCGTATCAGGGTCCCAGGGTTAAGGGCCCGTGCTAGGGGCCCATGGTTTCAAACTTAGATAAACCCTGAAGCACTAAACCCCTAGAGACCCCAAAGCTTGAAGCTAGATCCCCAAGCTAATCGACACGAAAGCTTTCAACAACAAAAATCATCCCGATTCCCGCGCACTAACCCCCACAGCCGTAGAGTCCCAAACTCGAAGATATTCCGCTCTAGGCTCGAACCTTCAAGTCCCAAACCCTAAACCGTAAACCCCAATACTAACTTTAAACCCTGGGAGTACACCAACTTGGTCCGAACAGCAACCCGAAAACCTTAAATCCTAAATCCCCAACCTTAAAAATATTAATCCCCCAGCCAGGTTGCCACACTGGGCGGATGTGCCGCTCACGCGCGGCGGGTCTCCCGCCGGCATCGCCGGGCTCCCGGAGCACACTAGGCTTCGGGCTTCAGCTTTGCAGTTGGAGTGAGGTGTTTAGGTTGGGGCTCAGGGTTTGATATGTGACACGGGTGTCTGGGCGGGGCGGATTCAGGGTATGAGGTTGATGTTTTGGCACGAGGCTTTGGATGTAGTGCTGTCCACAAATGCAGAACAGAAATGGGTCTTTTGTGCGTTCCCTACAGGCAATGCGTGGTTGTCGATCCTGCATGCAGACTCTCTGCACAGATGATGGCACTGCGTTTGGGTTTTGCGAATTTAGGCGTTGGTCCAGGCATGCAGGATTGGCGGCTGAGGCACTGAGGCCTTCCTCATCCTTAGCAAATTGTTGGGCCTAGAAATTTTAAGCCAATCCACAGGGGGTGATGTACGTACAGTACTGTAAAGATAAGAGACTAGCACTGCTTCACCTCACTCTCGGCGTATTCCAACTGGTTGTCGTGCCAGCTCCTCAGGCTTCGTCAGCACGAAGCAAGTGACCAGAAACGGATGCCTATCAGTGTCGAACAATGGCCCCAGGCAAGTGGGCCCTCGTACAGGGGTCTCCTTAATTGGGTCATGTTATCATCTGCTTGGCTTGTGTTTTAGATGCCCAGGTGCGGAGGCCACCCACTTGGGACAGTGAGCCGAAGTTCAGCACATGCGACACTTAACAGAAAGCATAAGCACAGCACCCGAAGGCGTAGGCAGCTAAGTTCCTGTCTTGAACTGAACCCTTAAGCCACGAAAATGCACTTGTCCGGAGTCCGAAGCCTTGAGGTTTCTATGCGTCTCCAGCTCCTCACCATACCTGGGCTGATGTAGCACGGCTGCAGCAGAAAGTTCCGGATGTGGTGACAGACTGTTTTGAATTGGTGGCTGGGCTTAAGATTTTGCACTTCCTCGAGTTCAGCGATTTTGGGTGGTTGAACAGGCTGGCAGCCTTGTCTCGTACTCCAGCTCGAACACAATTTGACGATCCGTCGTGCCAGCCTTTCCTCAAAGGATTCGATGGACGCAGTCACAACCGATGCTTTGAGCGCCCTCGATAGGAAACCATGTTCGTTTCAGTATTTCGGCGGCTGCCCCAAATCAGCAGGGCCGCGGCATGCTCACCTTCAAGTTCACTTCTTCACAGACACTTTCCGGATCAGCTTGCCATTGAGAGCACGGCACCTCCGCAGAAGTACCTCAGCCGGCTGGCAGACCTCGTGCAAGAAGCGCAGCATTCAAGGTCATGCGCAGGCAGCCGCAGCAAAAGTCCGCACAGGACAGGTGATGAGTGTCGTGGGATGCCATGTGCCTCTCGTCAATATCATCGTACCTTGCGGGGAAATGCAAGTGTCCTGGTATGTGCAGCAAGGCGAAGGTCGAGAGAGAAGGGATGGGATTCCAGCCTCGACCGAGATGACATCTTCCAGATGCTGCTTGAGCAGGGGGGGCGTTGCAACTATTCCGGGGTTCCCATGGAAATCCTGGTTCCCCATTCACACTGGCGCATGTCCTTGGAACGCTTAAACAATTCCGAAGGCTATCGGCGCCAAAACTGTGCCTTGGTAGCCGCTGAATTCAACTCCGGTGATTTCAGCAGGGCCCTGGGTGTGAAGCAGGCAGATGTTGAAGGCTCAGCGCAGTGGTCTGCTGAGAAGCACCGTTTTGTCAGCAATGCCTGCAACTTGATCGTGGACCTGGAGAAACTCCAGCAAGATGTCGTTGATGCGTTCCGAAAGCCTTTCCTGTCTGGCATGCCGTCACGAAGTTCATACCGTCGTGCTTACTCCAGGACCTTACGCAGTAGGTCGAAGAGTCTAATCTACAGCGCGCATGCACGATCAAGGATGCGCGATGAGGATTGCGAACTTGAATACACCGACATTCTACGAATGCTGCTGCAGCAACGAGGCCGCTGCTTCTACTCCGGAGTGCCCCTGCAGTACGAGCGCCCACACACTGACTGGGTCATGTCTTTGGAACGCCTGGACAACAGCATAGGCTATGTGAAGGGAAACTGTGTGTTGATCGCGAGTGAGTTCAACACACCAGACCGCAGCAAAACTGCAAAATGGGAAGTCCGTGGGTCTTCGCAGTGGTCACTTGCGAAAGTGATGCATGTTTGGGGCCGTGCCGGCTTTCTCTGAGGAATAGCACTTGCCACTGTCAGGGATTATTGCTGCAATGTGCAGAGAAGCGGGACCAGCAGAGTTGGAAATCTGAGATTTGTATGCTTCAAGATCAAAACGTTCAGGTTGATGAATCTGCCATGGTATGTCGCCAGAAGAAGGTCAAGGTATTCAGAGAGACTCCTGTCAAACTTCTGATCGCACGGACTCATATGACATGTGCCAGCAAGCGACACCGCGGCCTATTGCTTGCACCCACCACACTGCTCTGAAGCACGCAAGAGCTGGCAGAAAATGCCACTACCTGGCTCGAAAGCGAACGGCCTGTGCTTTGTGGGCGACTTTGGCTTTGGCCTCTTCAGCACGCAGTGTACTAACTATAGGGGCCTGAATAATTTCCAGTAGTATTCTGGGGGTTCCTTATCAATATATATATATATATATACTTATTTATTTATTTATTTATTTATTTATTTATTTATTTATAGTATAACGGACCTTAAAACCCTACTCTCATTTTAAGGCCCTATATTACGTCGACTGGCAGATGCATGAACTGCGCATGGTGCTGAGTATCCTGCGCCAGCGTCTTGCTAGCCTCGTTGTGTGAAACGCACCGCGTTCATGCTGAACGTTGCCCGACGTAATGTAGCCGGAAACCCATGCCGAGATGATTATGCTTGTCGTTTCAGCGACAAAAAGCATCGTCTGTCTGCCAATTCAGCTGGAAAATGGAACAACAACCTAACCTGAATGGCTGCAGCCGGCATCGAACCCACTCGCACCCAACGAGCCTTTGCCGCATGGGTTTCACCACGTCTGTGCGTCTCCTTTGACGGTATCGTCCTCGGACCTAAGAATGTAGACGTGACCTTCCATTGTTGTCGTTAAGTACTTGTATCTGGGAGTTTCAGAAAACAGGGGACCGTAGTTTCGACCCTGAGTAGTATAGGCTTCTTATCATAGGGTCCCTAGTTTTCGGAAGCCCCCATCTGTCGACTGATTGAACACGAGTGCCGAGGCCGAAACCGACATCTGCCAACCCGGTGCCAGAGGCCGTCCGCACTTCTGTCTTTGTCGCAGAGGACATGTTGGCTTGTTTTTGAGGGTTATATGGTCGTTGGACGACAGGGCGTAGAAATAGAAAGCTTGGTTTAGTACCGAGTCTGGATGTAGCGCCGTGCGCATCTCGCTTCGGCTCATGTATAGCCGAATGAATCCGCGGTCGATGCCCTGTTCTTGGACTTCGCTCAGAACGACTGCAGCAGTGAGCCAGAAGCACACAAGAATTAAAAGTACAAGCCTTGTAACTCATCCCTGTGCAAGAACTCTTAGCCTCTGAAGCCCTATACACCTGAACTATCAACCAGTGAGCACATAATAAGTGATTACACCTTGGGCAGTTCTCTTGAAATCATCTCCATTCCTTTGGAAAAGTGGATGCTTGGTACCAGCACCCCTCAGATCGATCCTGATACTTTAGCACGCTTGTCAGAAGGTGCTAAGAGCCAAAGAAGGCAGATGCTTGAGAACCCCCATGGCCAATGCCGGGAACCACTGTAACCGAAGCAGGATTTCTTCGCTAAAGGATGCTGCTGGGATCTCCCTTGGCCCTAAATTCTTCGGCCATAGGCCGTCAGGTAAGCCCCAAAGTTTCAGACTTATCTGCCTGAAGCCTGAAACTGTAACACGTCCGTAAATCCAGAAAGCCAAATGCCCCCTGGACTAGCATGCTGTTCTTAAAAAATTGAAACGAAGTCCTAATTAGCTGACAGAATATTCCTACGGCATTGTGCTCTCTGGGAATCAAAAACCCTCAATGCCAATGCTTGTGAAGCCCTTGTAATCCCAGGAAAGCAAGCCCAGAAAAAACCCTCCACCCTGCAAACAGGAAAAAAACCCAACAGAAATAATGCGAACACCCTATCATAACCCCCTTCAGAACCCTAAAAAGCTCTACGAGGGGAACAAGAAACGAACTTCTTACTTACCCGCTTCGGTGGCCGAGGCCCATCTTGATTTCCATACGCCCCCGGACAGCCCAAGGGACGAAAGCTTCTGAGAAAAAAAGTGCGTGCCTTTTCGCGTTTTTTTTAGATTTCGAGTCGTAGGGTGTTTGAGTATCAAGGTTGTTGAGGGATGTAGGATTTATTACGGCACAGGGGTTCTTAGGGCTTTGGAGTCTTAGAGCTTCAGGGTTTTCGGGTGTGGGGTCTGCTATTTTAGGCTTCAAGAGTTGGGGTGTTGTTCTTGGTTAGGGCCAGGGTTCTAGTTTAAGTTTAATGATTAATGAGACCGAGAATGGCTCGCCTGCCGTTCGCCGCAGAGTCCCGTTTTGCGAGGTTTCGGGTTATGGGCTTAACTTTCCATGGCAAGGATTCAGGCTGGTAGGTTCAAGGCTGTATTCATCGCTGCTCAGTGGGTTCCGAGATTCTGGGGTTCGAAAGTCGGGTAGCAAACACTCTGCCAGTTCCCCCAAGAGTGTCCTTGTTGCACTGTTGTTACCTTGGGGCTTCCTTTTTCACGCTGAAGGATAGGGAAAGGATACCCCTTCAATTGTCTCAATCCAGGGTTCTTGAAGGGTGCAAGTTCAAAATTCGTTTAGCGGCTCAGGAAACCTATTGACTCTTTTTGGTAAGGTCTGCCTTAACCTACTCGAGCCAAAGCGTGTTTTTTTGTAGGTGATAGGGGTTAGAAGTGTCGGCTCGTCGATCGGCGGATTTAGGGTTTAGGAGTCCATTTTGGGGTGTACGGTTTAGGGTACAATTGAGCGATGTAAAGTTCAGGACTCACTTTGCTGGTTCGGGGTATGGGATCCGTCTCAGTGTCTTTGAAATTCGCTGCCTACGTTCGGGGTTTAGGGTTTCGAGCTCACGTTAGAGACGTTTGGGCTCTCTTTCGGAGCTTAGGGTTTTGGCTTGATGTCAGGATTTACAGGCTTTCCGCAGGGTGGAGGATCTTTCATTGTAGGGGTTCCGGGTTTGTAGACTTCTCTACTAGGAAGCCACATCATATCCAGAGCCCAGACATCAAGCACGACAACCCTGAGATGCACACCTAAAGCGCATCTAGAGACTGGAACGAAAAAAACGCCACTCGGCCCTGAAATGCGAACGTCTCGGTAAGAGCAGGACTCGCGTCACCAGCAACCGTGTCAACAAGGCCCCATCGCAGTAGTTGGAAGAAGGGCTTTGTGCAACATCCGATATGTGGTCCGGGTAACCGAGGCTGAGCAAAAGAGTTTGCAAGTCCTTGCAAGCCCTACATAAACCCCCGAGATTGTCAGTCTCGGTGTGTCTGAGTGGTTTTGGCCATGGGGCTTGGCGCCCTGTTCAGATGCAGTAGCTAAGGGCTTTCAGACAGCTCAACCCTGAGCTGCTTGCTTTTCGGGCCTTCGGTGCCAGTGTGCGGTTTAGGTTTAGGGGCTTGGCACTGTAGAGTTTACGCCGGGTGGATGTAAAGATCCGCAACTGTGAGGGTATGAGGAGGCCCGACGTGCGCTCATGTAGGAGCTACACCCAAGTTGTAAACGTGTGCAACAGAATACCCTAAACCCTAAACCCTAAACCCTAAACCCTAAACCCTAAACCTCAAAACCTCAAAACCTCAAAACCTAAGTTTCTCCAGCTCGCAACCCTGGGAGGCCAACCTCATCAAGCAACTGCAGGATGAGCCGCCCGGCATAATCGAGGGGCTCTATGGTAGGGTTTAGGGTTTAGGGTTTAGGGCCTAAGTTCTAAATAATTACCAACATTCTGAGGGGCTCCTTCGTATAATTCTAGTATAGTACACCCCAAAACCCTATTCTAGTTATGGCCCAACCCCTACAAAGCCTTATAGTAACCCTTATAGAGCCCCCTTTTTCTTAATACTAAGGCCCTATATGCGATCTCGAAAGGAGTTGAAGAGACGAAAATTATTGCCCTGTGTGGGCTTAAGTAGAAGCTGAAATATTTCAACTAAGTGCTCCAGGCTGCCTTAAACATTTGGTGCAGCTTCGTCAGACACACCCGCTTTGCCGGGTGGTTGTAGAACAGGGTTCTCCAAGAACTCCAAGCAAGAATCTGGCGCGAAGCACGAACCTGTAGAAAAGCCCTTCATCCGATATCAGATCGCTTCAGTGAGATATTTATTCAGGTATAGAGGGGTTATTCTATCAGGCATTAAGGTATATATAAGGCATATAGGGGCTATTCTAGAAGGCGTTCTGCAGGGTAGTCTATATGAAAACTCTTGAATGCCCCACTTCGGCGCCGAGGATCGTCCGCCTGAAGAGCCAGGTCGAATCCAGGCTCTGGGGGCGATTTTGTCCGGCTTTGTTTTTTTTTTTACAGGGTTTAGGGTTTAGGGTTTAGGGGTTTTACTTAGTAGCTGAGTAGGTAACCTTTAACCTTGTGGGGTTTATATAATCCTACCATAATTGAAAAGGGTCACCTTTTGTTGGGCCAGGGGACTCAGCCCCTATGTTTAAGTTGTTTGCTTAATATTTATATGGTCTCAGCAGGGTTTGCTAAGGGTGTTTGTAATTCTTAGGGGTTATACACAGGCGTGGCGTATGTACACTATTTTTAAGCCGGAAATTACAAATGGTGTGGCTTTATATCGCCAAGCTTTACTAGGATGTGCTTTTAAGGTTGTCGTTGTAAGGACATGTACGAGCCATAAGGATTCGACCAGCTTCAGGGTTTAGGGGCTTGGAGCTTGAGGTGAAAGATTCACGGTTTCGGGGACGAGGGCTTGGATCTAGAGTGTCGACGAAGGTCTGCTTTCTTCGGTCCCCTGAACTCGTCAACCTACTGTCTAGGCCGTAAAAGTTCGGCATGCTGCATGCTCACAGACAGTCTAAGCCCTGCATCGGGAGCGCCGCGAAGTCCAGGACTGCTTGAAGGATTGCGGGACTTGGTGAGGAAGGTTATGAGGTGCTATAAGTTGTGCTAGCTAGGACTAAGAGCTTATTGCTCTTCTGCTCCGTAAAAATGCGGCCAGCCAGAAGACCTGAGTGCAGGTTGGTGGTGCTT